GGGCCCTGGGACTATTCCCAATGATATCTGGCACAGTGGTACAGGCCAGATGGCTCAATGCCCAGCCCTGGGAATGAGGTACTGCTTGGGGATGGCAGTTTGGAGGTCACCAGGACTGCCCTGGTGAATGTACTTGGGGCTTGGGTCATGACAGAGATCAAGTTTGGGGCCTCATGAATGCCAGCCCTACACCCCAGTCCTCTGAGCTGTCTCCCCGGCCCTCTCCCCATAGTACTTTTCTATATTATACATCGCATCCACAGACTGATACCAAGTACAAAATTAACTCTGAGATATGACGAAGCTGAGTTGCTAGGAAATAGGTGAACAGCCAGTTTCTGCTCAGGAGAGGAATCTGAAGGCAGGATTCCTCCCCGAGCATGGCTACCAGAAGGCCCCAAATGAAACGCAGGCTGGAAATCGTGCTTCTGCATTATTCACAGGAGCAGGAGTCCTTTTCTTGTCGGGACACTCGGAGAGAAAATAAAGGTCAAAAAGCAAAGTGCTGAGCCACTGAATGCAATTCTAATTAGCTTCACTTCGTAATTGGCACTCTTCTTGGAAAAGAGGTTTCTCTCTTCTTCAATATTTTATATAGTGTTAAAAACCGATTTAGCGAACAAACAACGCCAATGATTGGAATAAAACGAGTGGGGTATTTAGCGTTCCCTTTCTGTCCCTCAAAGGCACAGCAAAGGCTTTCAACAGTGACACGCGGCACGAATCTATTGTCTCGACCTGTTCTAACACCTGGGGAGAGAGGCACAACACACAGGCACGCAGGCACTTTTCTTTCTCTCCTTTCACTCTCGGGGGGCACGAGAGGGTCATTTCCAACAAACTGCATGTGAACGATGCAAATGAAATGTCTCCCTGCCTGCCCTGTGCCGGCATTTCTAGGCAAATCAATAAAAATTTTGCTAGACTCCAGACTCTTGGTTTCCAGCTAGATGCTCTTACTTCAAAGGCCCAGGAGAAGCAAAGCTGAGCTCTGTTTGGTCCAATGCACAACCTTTTCAGAATCCGAAGGGCTCACTTAAGAGCGAAGGAAATTTTAAGGTAGAGAGGTTCCTTTCCCTTCAGGCAAAATACAACTTTCTGGATTTAAGAGGCTTATTAAAGGTCTCACAAGATTTCCTCAACATCAAACAACTCTTCTGAAATGACATTTTCAGATCTAAAGCACATGCACCCACACTCGTGGATTAAATTTACCTGGAAATAGATGAAGGCTAAAATTAACTACTGAGTTCCAAAGAGCTTTAGTCACTGCTGTCAAAACAAAGGCTGGGGTGCCTAGAATTCAACTTAAAATCATCTGGAAAATGGTCACTCCCCACTATTATAATACCTTCATGTCCCATGCTGCTAATTACCAACTATTGATTATTTCTACTCTCTAATTGACAGGATATTTCTGACATACTATAGGACTTAAACAAAAACCCTCATATTTACTTATGAGCATATATTTGAATGGCACACTGAGAAGATAAGATTAACCATTATTTAAGCCTTATGAACACAGAAAACCTGTACTTTATTATCATGGACTAAAATTTTCCACTATCAGACTCTCAACTATCTATATCCCAAAGCCAATAGGATGATTTTTGGCATGTCTATTGAGCACTGTGTCTATAACTGAGTAAGAGAGGGGAGTCCCACTCGTCCCATTACAAGGTGGGGTTAAACATAGGCTATTTGGTAAGAAACTTCCACCAGAGAGGAAACTTACAACACTCCCTTCCCCAGCCCTGGCCCCTACCTCCCAAGCTTTTGGGGGTTGATGAACTAAAGGTCTGCAGAGGATGCTATGAATTTTCCTTTTGTTTGTTTGTGGGCCAACCTGGCTGTGCTCAGGGATCATTTCTGGTGGGAGATGAACGCAGGTCAGCCTCAGACAAAGCCAGAACCCTGCCCACTGTCCTATCACTCTAGCCCAGGATGCTATGAAATTTCAAGGGGCAGCCACCTAGAGACCACCCACAAGACTAGGGATGGCTCCCACAAAGCACATCTGTATGCAAAAACGGGTCAAGCAGCTGGATCATGCCATCACAGGTTTGGGCTGGGTTAAACCCCAGGCCATCAGGTGAGGCTGGTTGGGGGACCACATCTGAACTGCTACACTTGAACATCAACCCCCCTGCTTCATGTCCAGAGAAAATGCCAAAGCTCTTGCTAACGACCCTGACCCTCCAGTTCACTTCAAGGAATCGGTGTGGCATCAACGGAATTGGTACCCGATAAGACTTCAGTGCCTGGGCTTCAGTATGAGAGAACAGACATGCTGAATGTCTGTCTTCAGAGTCTGATGTTGTGGCTGTGTCAATGCCTACCTTGCCCCGTGTTATCTAGGTTTTGGGTTTTTAACATTCAGCATCTGGTTTGATTGTTCTCTCCCTTTGTTTCACTGTTTGCTGAAAAAGGGATGCCCCTACGTTTCTAAATCTCACCATTACCTTACTACCAAGTTTGCTTGGCAGCTTTCTCCCATTGAGACAAGGGGTCTGTTCTCGCCTGTACGGTCCCATTCATATTTAAACATATTTCTATGTGCTTATAAAGTAGACTTGAATCCCGAATATACTCTTATTCCACAAGTACCTTCTTTTAGGGTATGATCTTGCCTCTTTTGGGGGGAGGGGCTTTTTGGGTCACACCTGGTGATGCTCAGGAGTTACTCTTCTCTCTGCACACAGGACTCACTTCTGGTGGTGCTCAGGGAACCATATGGATGCCGGGGAATGAACTCAGGTAGGCTGCGTGCAAGGCAAATGCCTTCCCCAAAGTACTATTGCTCTGGCAAACTTTCCTCTTTACTCTCTGAAATAAATATTTGGATTTGTGATTCACGCAGAAACTTAGCTGATAATTCACTGTGGATATTTACAACTGCCCGCGGGGTGGGGGGGGGGGAGGTGTTCACTAGCATTTTACTGACAGATAATACTATTTCTCTACTTGCAGCCTTTCTGTCTTTTTTAAAAATTTTATCCCCTTCTTAAGATGGTTTTAATTTATTACCAGTATCAAAATCTAGACAGGAGATATAGAGTTATATCTGATTACCCTCAATCGACTAGAAGTTCCCAGAAAGCACAACTCTAAATATTTTAAAAGCACTAGGCATAAATGTGTGTGTGTGTGCGACACACACACACACACACACACACAGAACTTCTCACCCCTTCTACATCATGTGCTATTTTAAAAAGGAAAAAAGAAATAAAAATATTTTCCGCACAGCATGTGTGATCCCCAACTTTTCTTCTTCTTTGAAGACAAGGATAAAACAGAGGTAGTCCAGGAGGGCTTCCTGGGACTGGCCACCGTGGATGGGCCACCACCACCCCACCAAGAGGGTAGCAGGTCTAGCTTCTGATCTACAAAACAACACGATGAAAAGAAAATTCTCTTCCTGAGGTTCAGAGGGAGCAGAATTCCGACATAATTGGGGGGAAAAAATCCCACACTGAAAGTCTCATTATGACAGCTAGAGAGAAAGTTGCTTCTTTCATCCTTTAGATATTATTTTAAAACATGCTTTCAAGGGTAGGAGCAAGAGAACAGAGAAATTCTGGTGTGGGGGAAATAAAAAGTTATTTGGACGACTGTTTTTTTAATGAACTTCTAACACTGGCTCAACATTAGACTGAAAAATAAAAATTAGCAAGTGGGATTATGGCTTCTCCATAATAATGAAGCAGTTTTAAGAAATAATAAAATCCACATGCACTGAGGCAGCAGAACTTTTCATCATTCAAGGCATCAATGCTACTTTTGTCTTGAAGTTTTGCTAATTCAATGTCGATTACCTTTTAAATAACTAATGGCTTTGAAAATAAATGACTCTAGAAAAGTTGGGTAGTTCATTTTCCCCCCCTCACAAGTGCTTGTTCAAATTGCAATGTTGCTTCTAACAAAAAAGGCATTGCTACTCTAAACGGAATAGCTTTTCTAGTTAGGCTCTCTTACTTAGCCCTGAATTGTAGAAAGAAAACATTTCTGGTTCCAAGTCATTAATATGCCTCTTCATTGCAACCTTTAAATTCTTTATGGTATGTGCTTTAGAGAAAAATATTTTAAATAAGAAAATTAAACATCCCCCATGTGAGTCATCCACATCAAAGTGTAAATTATATATTTGGGCAGGAAAACAAAAGAGCAAGTAGGTAGAGACTAGCTGGGACACAGTGAGTGAGTGGGATGATAAAATACTTCTTCCTGCCGATAACCTGTTGTGGTCTCAATTCTATTAGACTTCTGAATTGATGAGCTATTATCTCCGGACAGTGCTCACACCAGGAGGCAAGCCCAACAAGAAAAATGTCTTAAATGAAAAACTTATAAACAAGATACATTTCATAGCTGCTACCTGAATTAAAACAAGCTATTAGTGATTGCACAAAACATGAATATGAGACAAGCAGGGTTTTCAGTATTTCAGATTTTTTTCCACAGTCAATGAATTGATAATGATCTATTTTAGCAACAGCTTCTGTATCAGTTTGTGATTATTTTGAATACACAATTGAGTTCACTCTAAGTACAGAGTTATATATTAATTGATTCTCTGAAATGTGGGAGGCAAAATTCTGCAGTGTCAGGTGATTTGTGGCAAACACAGCTTGGTGAATTCCTAAACACTTTTCCCTTATTCTTCCCTCTCTTTTGTTGGTTCCACGGCCACACCTCAGGACTCACCCCTAGCTCTGTGACCAACGATCATTCCTGGTTGTGCTTGGTGGGGGGGCGGTGATATGTGATGTTGTAGATCAAATTGGGGTCACCCATGTGCAAAGCAAGTGGCTTAACCCTTGAAAAGTCTCTTTCCCGCATTTCTCACTATTTTTCAGAGGCACTTTTAATACATCCTGCCTCTTGGACAGACATACTATTAAGTTTGATTGTTGGGGTTTGGATCTCTGGCTCGAAGTATTGTTGGCTCTCTAGTCACTTTTTATTTTATTTTTTTAAACACATGGAACTTATTCATTATTCATGAAAAAAACCCAAATTTGCATGTCGTTAGCAGGGACCATGCTAATTTTCTCTGTATTTTTCCAGTTTTAGTGGATGTGCTGCTGAAGCAAACACCCACTTTTCATTCTTAAGAGGAATCCATGCAGTAAAATATTTCAGTACAACCCTGCTGCATAAAATATATAGAATGAAAGTAAGAAGTGAAATGTTTTCATTAGGACTTGCTTTAACGTAGACTAGTTTAGACGTGTCTAATAATCATGGTACAGAGGTTTTTGAGAGTAGTAAGAACTGAATCATCAATACCACAAACTTGAACACCATAGTAACCATGTTACTCAAATTACAACAGATAAAGTAAAAAATAATTGAATCACAAAATAAAATCTACATGTTTTTTTTTGTATGGGAACACCACTCAGACAACTGAACTACATTAATAGTGAATCCCAATCAGATAATCTTTTTTTCCCCTTCTGGGTCACACCCTGCAATGCTCAGGGTTTATTCCAGGCTCTGCATTCAGGAATTACTCCTGACAATGCTGAGGAGACCATATGGGATGACAGGGATCGAACCTGGGTTGGCCGCCATGCAAGGCAAAAGCCCTACCTGCTGTGCTATAACATCTGGCCCTTGATCAGATAATCTTTTCCATGCTTTACAATATCAATTACACCTACAGTTAGCAGTTATTACAGACCAGACATATCAGCCTTGAAACAGAAATGGAAAAGAACATTAAAATTCCTAAGTTCTATTTGGACAAGACTTAATCTACTTAATGAACTAATTCACTGAATTATTGATGACCATGAATCTTAAAATTGTTCATAAAATTCCTTCTGTAAACTTGGGAAGGAAGAGTGATGTTGATAAGAGATTTCAGGTAGTGTGTAAGCGCAGGAGGAATTCAAGAATGCCAAGACAGAGAGATGTGGAATCACGTCTGGTGGTGATTGGGAGACGGGATGGGGACTGTTTTAGTCCATCAGAGAGTGGGCAGCAAACAGAAAGCATTTGACAAAGCAAAACAGCAAACCAGGTGAGTGGAAAGCTAGTTGAAGAAAGCTTATGACCACCTATGTGCAAAGAAATAACTAATGTGAATTTCTCAAAATCTTTCCTCTGTGTGTGAGAGAGATAAACACTTTCCCTTCTCTTTTGGCCAGAGCTGGGTGGTGCTTAGAGGCTAGTTCTGCCTCGTCCCTCAGGGATTTGCTCTTAGCAGTCCTGGGGAGAACAAAGCAGTAGAGAGGATGGAACCCAGGTCACCCAGGTGCATACAAACAGTCTAGCTCTAAGCCATCTCTTTAGTCTTGAAATTTACTTTTTTTTAAATGATGAAATAGAGGGTGGGGAGACAGCACAGTGGGTGGGGTGTAAATGGTTAACCTGGGTTCGATCCCTGGCACCCCACAGGGTCATGCCTGAGTACAGAGCCAGGAGTGATTCCTGAGTAGCGCAGGAAGTGGCCCCAAAACCAAAATAAAAGGGAGAGGGCAGATTAAATTCACCTCTTTGTTTACACAGGGGCAAAGTCTGGCCTAAAATGTGTTTTATAATATAGCACCGACAACTATGTGAGGTGACACCTCTCACTGGTGCAAGGTAAACTACTATTTGCACAGGGCTGGGCCCTGAGTAAGGCAGATACTGCGCTAGAGCCACACAGATGGGGAGAGGAGATGGATCCCGGGAGACCCCAAGAGCTCTGGCTGGGAAGTTCTGGATGTTAAAGAGGAACTCGTGGAGAAGAATGGGGTTCACCAAGAAGAAGGGGTGCAGTCAAGCCTTGCCTGCCTCATTCTGCAGCTAGGAAAGAGAATCCCTCATGGGAGTCTCTGTTGTCCCTCACAACTGAGGAGGGAGCTTGGAAACTCTGGTGATACTCATGGAGTTACCTCAGGCCAATGTACCCCCCTGCAGGTGTTGTAGCCCTCAACAGTGAGTCAAACATAGAAACACTAGTAGGGTCCAAGCAGGCAACTCCTTATTGGGGTTCTTCATGGTAAAAAATAAGTATTGGTAAAGGGAAATGTGTTTGATATTTGCATGACTGAGACATAAACCTGAAAGCTTTGTAACCTTTCCCACAGTGATTCAATAAATAAATAAAAATAAATAAATAAAAAACAAAACAAAACAAAAAAAACAAGCAGGCAACTCCTTTCTGTGATGCTAAGTGGCTACTGGGAGCACCGGAAGGAGGATGGACTTGTGAAAATAATGATTCATCATACCTTCTAAGTTGAGGCAGTATTTGGGGGTGATCAGAAAAGAGCTGTTTCTCTGTAAACAAAGTCATTATGCAAAGAGGATTTTTAAAATTGTGCATTTCTTATATTCTTGCTTTGTTTTTCGTTTTTGGACCACACCTGAGTGTGCTCAGGGATCACCCCTGATAGGGTTCAGGGAACCATATGTGCTAGTGGGGATCGAACCCAAGTCAGCTGTATGCAATACAAGTGCCTGAATCCCTCTGTTGTAGACACTCAGTACTGTGAAAAACTCAGTACTCTACCCCAAAAGTGATGATTTTTATTTTTTATTATTTTAAAAATACTTATGTTTTTGCTCTTTGGGTAACACCTGGCGATGCTCAGGATTTACTCCTGGCTCTGCACTCAGGAATTCTGGCGGTGCTCGGGGGACCATATGGGATGTTGGGGATTGAACCCCGGTTGGCCATGTGCAAGGCAAACACCCTATCTGCTGTACTATCACTCTGACTCCTGATAAACTTTATTTGCCGGCAGATAGTTTAGATCATTACTAGACAGGCTAAGCAAAAGTGTAAGAAATGATTACTATTTTATGCAAAATTAAGAAACTATCTGTGTATATTTCATCACTTATTACATACAACGGAGATAAACTTATTGAGAAATCTTGTGCATTTTGTCCTTTCCCTTTTTAATTGTACAGATTAGGAGATTAGGATAAGAGGCAATAGATGAAGACACTGCAACATCTGTATAACTTGTTTCTTAATAAAGCCAGTGAGTAGTTCTCTGGTATCTGGATACTGGTTTAGATTCTGGGTGATGACCAAAATCCTTGAAGTTTCCAGAACTGAACGTACAAAAAACTCGTCGCTACGTATAACATACACAGCCTCCTGATTCCCACCAATTCTTCTGGAGGGCTGCTCATACCCAGCACAACGCAAATGTTCCGGAAAGAGTTGTTCTGCTGTATTGCTCTGGGAATATTCACGAGAAATGAAGTTTGGTTGTACTCAGCTCTGCAGCAGCTCCCAGAGGCTCTGGTACAGAGCATGCCTCTTCCCATCCTCAGCTGGCAGAAGCTGTGGATGCAAAACTAGCAGACACGGAGGGCTGACTCAACCGATATTCTGGAGCTGGGTACCCATTCTTCTTTCAGATAGAATTTCTCAAAAAAAAAAAAAACCAAACAAACCAAAAAACCAAGAAAAACAACAGAGGGGCCAGGCCAGAGGCCAGAGGCTAGGGGGCGTGCCTGGGATTCACCTGATGCAGGTTTGATTCCCAACACACAGACCTCTGAGCATTGTCAGATGCAGTCCTGGAGCCCCTCACCTATCTTACCCCCCAAAGCTGCTGGGTGTGGCTCTGGAGGCCTTCGACACCACAGAGGGTGCCCAGGAATCCCAGGCCCGGCAGGGACCTAGTAGCATTGATTCCCAGGTCCTTGAAGTCCTGGTCCTGCGGTCTCTGAGTTGCCAGTAGGGCCCCTCAGACCTTCCCAGTGTAGTGCTGCTTCCGAGTCTCCCTTCAGCTTCCAAACAAGTCATATATTTGGACACCACTACAAGAAAGGGTTATTTAGAATTTGGGATGAGGAAGTGATGGGACCAGAGGAGCTTGCTGGCCCTTGGAGCTTTCAAAAAAAAAAAAAAAGAAGAAGGAAAGGGGCTGGAGAGACAGTACTGTGGGTGAGACACTTGAGATATGCACGGCCAGCCTGGCATCTTGTCAGGTCTCTGAGGCAGAGTCAGGAGTTAGCTCTGAGCATTACTTGGTGTGGCCCCCCAAAAGCAAAAAATAAAACTACAAAACAACAACAACAACCCCAACTGAATAAAAGAATTAAGATGGAATAAGATTGATTACAGTTTTGAAACTATTCTGGAATATAGTTCATCTTTCTCAAAATAACATAATTTCTTCTGGCCCTTTACAACAAACATGGTTTTTTTCCCCATGGGTACAATGTAAGACTTCAATAATTACCTCCTGAAGGCATGCATGTTGTCAGACCTTTATTTCATGAAACATCACTCCCTGCCACTATCTCAGATAATTTCCTTCCTCACACAGGATGACTGTCACCTCTTCTAAGGCAAATCCTGTCTTCAGAAATTTATTTCATAGTTTTCTTTCTTCTCCAGGAAGCCAGCACAATTCAGCTTATAAAACAAATGATCATTCTCATAATTAAAAAAAAAGTCTCCTCTAATTGTTTGCAAAAATGAATCAGTATGTAGTGCTGGAGAGCTGTGATTGCTTTTTCTAAGTCATCACTGATGTGAAAGTTGTCATAGAACTGTGTAACTTCTAAGTCACTTATGTACCTTCATATATATAAGTACTAGAAAGAAGAAAAGAAAAAAATAAAACCCAAACACTAACATACCAGGTACCCATTTCAATGAATCCTTATGAAATCTTTATGAAGTATTATTGAATCCATTCTACCAAAAAAGAAAAACAAGATTAAAAGGTATGAGTAATCCAACGTTACACAGCTGGTAGGATATTGAAATTTTAACCCTAGATCTCTCTGCCAGCAAATCAATGTTTTTCTAGTACAACATGAGTAAAGAGAAGCAATGTGATATTCATTCAAGTTCAACTTCGGGGTGTAATTGGAAGAGACGACTCTGGTAGCAGTAGTTTAAGTGGTTTAGAATTAGAACTGAGATGCGAAGAAGTCTCAAAGAAGGTCAGTGATGAATCACTGAGGTTATCAAAGAGAACTGATTAAGCTTAGTTGGTTAATTGCATGTCCAAGATTTGAATCATATGGATAAAGAAGGAAGATTTCTGAAAATGGTATAATGGAAGGCAGGCATCAATTCAGGTCTGACCCTGAAGTAGAAAGAAAGAAAACAGATGAAAGTCTGTCAC